TGTCATTTAACAGGACATTTTTGACTGCTCCCCACCCCTCCTTGACAGCTCATTATACAGCATTATACAGCAAGCATAGGATCAGAATATTGAATTTTGAACCCTGCTTTAAATGACGTATTAGTGGGTGGAGATCTGAAAGAAGGCGAGAACATCAATTCCTATGACTATTAGCTGATCTTCCATCATATAATATGTGCCACGTAGGAACTTTTGACATTTACAAGATCTGTTCTTTGCCAAAATTTTAACATTACTGTTCATATTCAGGTACCAACAAAGATTAGTGATAACGGGCATGTTTTCCATCGATGACAACCAAAATAAAAAAATTACTAAATATACATTCAAAAACTGCAATATAATCATTAAAACACTGTTTATCATGATTGCGATAACACTGTTTTAGTTGCGAACGTCATAACTTTGCAGCATATTGATACCACCTACAGAAACAATACGCCAAATATTTCAAGTTTTGGCACACTTCACTTAAATCCAATTGTAAGTGCAGCAAAATATCAAGGCAAAACTGTTATTTCTTACTCATGCAGAAAAATAAACAGATCAAAAGCCATGTCTAAATGATATAATCAAATATATGACAACTTCCCATCCATCTGGTAGGGACTCTTGAGTCGATGCGTGAAATAATGATTATCGCATAGTCCAGCGGTATTACCAGGCTTAATGTGCAATAACAAATAGTTTAACAAGCTAAACTATAACATTCCATGCTCACATATGTAAAATGTATTTCCATTCATTGGAAATGCAAAGGTGTATAAAAAGCATGTGCCAGAGATAACAAGGGTTGGGCATTTACCGACTCCTCAGCTTTGGCACTTTAAAGTTTTTACAGTATAGCAAGCACACTAAATGACTGTAGGGAGGGGGATCCTACCTATGAATTCACTTTTTAAAGAAATCCCACATATTGGAATTTTGCTACATAAGGCCATACTCTGGCTCAACTGTGTAAACATATAAATAAAAGTCTTTAAAGATTTTTTACTATAAATGTATCATAACTGATGTATAGAATAAATATTTCTATCTCCATGGCATATACATATGTATTTTATTTTTTTTACTGTATCGGAAAAAAAAAACATTTTTTTCAGTTTTGTATATGTTCTTAACATTGTGCACATCATATATTAAAGAGTTGCGTTAAAAAAAAAATCTAACAAAAGGAATTATATACAAGATATGGCAGAAAGACATTTAATAACATTTGTGGGTGATCTTTAAAAGGCACTGGAGTCTTTTTTTCCTCTTTTTTAATCTTTTCAAATGAAACAATATGTAAAAATGTTCAGCTACTCTAGCCTTGAAAGTCAATAAATAAAAAGCAATTTAAATTACATTTATAACAGCATTTTGGCTAATGGCTATAATTTGTCACAGAGTATGCCCTGCCACTATTGAAATTTAGACATACTTTAATTGCCCATGGGGTAAGATGGCTAATTACGACAAAAAGTTTAGCCTTCACCATACAGTATGACATAAGGATCAGCGCAAGCTCTTTGAAATGTTCACTGGGAGAATTATCTGTGTCTGCTCTTTATCAGTGCAATCAGCTCATCTAAATCATTTATTAAAAGACATGAAGTCTATTGTATACAAATCCTTCATAGATGACTATTTTACATTTAAAAAGGGCTATAGAACCAGCTATTACCTAGCTGATAAAAAGGACAGTATTCCTTTCTTTTTCGTGCATTTACACAGATTATTTTGCAGACATATAGGACAATTCATTACAACTGTAGTCTCAAAAACAGCACTTTAAACATTTTTGAAGTTTATAATAGGTAAAGCCAGGTAAGCTGGATGGAAATAATCTAAAAAAAAAAAAAAAGAAAAATAAGGAGACATACTAAGTGTGCAAAAATGATCATTAATTACATGTATCATAGGTTTTGGCCGAATGAGTAGTCAATCAAGATATTAAAAAAAAAAAAAAAAAAAGATTTAAAAATAAAGAGAAAAAATGTGATAGTACACATTCAGGGCAACTTGTATCCATTTACATCCAGCTCGATTAACACCTGTGTGGTTTTAAGTTACATGTTCCTGCAGAGCAAATGTCAAATGAAGGCATTTGCAGAGACCTTAGGAATTTTAAGGAAAGGAAGGAAAAAAAAAACATAATGGACTTAACCCTTTCATTACTAAAGCTCATCCTTTCCCAAACACATATCACCGTGTTACTCGAAAAATATCGCTATAGTTAAACCGACTTTGACTGTTATTAAAAAAAAAAAAAAGAAAAATTAGAAAAGAACGTACCAGTAGGTTAGATGTTGGCATCACTTGGACACCATTCTAAGCTTTAGTCCACTGGTGACTTAGATTTTATCTAAATGCAATCATGAAATAAAAAAAAACAAAAAAAAACTAAAAATACAAAACATATTTTGTATGTTTTTCCATCCTTCTTTTTCCATCTCCTAACTCACTTTTGTTTCAATGGCTAAATTATTTCCCTTAAATTAAAATGTGTCACAGGAGAGCAAAGGTTATGCAGTGAGGTTAAATGCTTGTGGCCACTTATAATAAACAGAAAATGGCTTTGAGAAAGAACAGGGAGCAATTGTTGTATATTGATTCACTTAACACACTGTATAGCCAAAGTAGAAGAAACAGATTGTTAATAAGAAATAAGCTGAAAAAAAAAAATATCTCTGTTATTAATGATGCCTAAATGTCGCACAAATTAACAAAAATAGGTAATTCCCAGGCTGTGTTTGCCCATGAGGTCAATAGAATATTTATAAACACTGCATTTAGATTTGTGTGATATACACATACAGTTTTAAATGCATTTCATATACATGAATGGGTTACACACAAACACAACATAAAAGATTAAAAAAAACCATATATATATATATATATATATATATATATATATATATATATATATATACAAACACACATATACACACACACATATACTTACATACATACATACTTACACACATACATACATAAACACACACATGTAGTTATATATAGATCCATTAAATAAATTTATATATATAGTAGGTTAAATAGATAAAAAGAATTCTGATGTATCACATTTCAATAAATAAGAGGCTTTTCCTAAAGATGATTTAATTATTGCCATGGCAATTAATTATAATAAACAAATAAATAAGCTAATAAATTAAAGACATGGCTGAATTCACTGTTCATGTTAACAAGTATAAGATAAGTAATGACATGAAATATATATATATATATATATATATATATATATATATATATATAAAAAATGTTTTTATTTTTTTATGTAGAGAGCACCATAGAACACAAATAATCCCATCTCCAATTCAAGAGGAAGGGCCCCAAACACAGCAATTTCAGCTGTGGCTTGGACATAGCATGGGGAATGCTGATGTGCTCTGGAGTCTGCTGTGCATGCTAAAGATTCATTCCTCAAATAGTGGCCCTCCTGAGCTGAGCATTAAACAGGGACAAAGAGGCAAACAGCGGGGGCTTCTATTCATGCTTCAAAACTCAAAGCTGTAAAGCCAGCCAAAACCATGGCCATTAAATGATGCACGTTTAAACCATCCAAACTCTCTTTTTATTTCTCTTTAACCTATTCCCTAATATCTTAAGTCTTTTGATCCTCCAATGGTCTACTTCAGCAAATGTCAGACTAGAGCACATCAGTATTAAAAAAAAAAAACAAAAAAAACAGCTATTTAGAAACCAAACTGTGATTCCCATAGCATTACAATATTGAATGGAGTGCAGCCTATTAAAAATAAGAAAGAGCAAACGATTGGATTAAATGTGATGCTTTTCTTTTCACCTTGCGCTGGTAACAGGGAAATCAATCTAAAATGACCAAGCATCAGTCCACACACAACCCTAACCTGCATCTGAAAATGCGGAGGAATTAAAGAAAAAAATAAAAAATAAAGCAGACAATAAACTTAGGGATTTGTGAAAATAAAGTTATATTAGATTGCATTTCACATTTCAAAAACATACAAAATAGATTCATGCAAGAAATAAATACATTACAGAAAAGTTTTTTTTTTTCTTTGTTGTTGTTTTCAGAAACCTTGAATGATTTTAGAATAACAAAGCTATTCAACATGAATAAAACATTCAATAAAACATCCCACAGAATCCAGATAAGTCTGATTGCACGCGTGTATGTGTACTAATATATATATATACGGTATATATATATATATATATACACACACACAAACACACACAATAAAGCTGTACAATTTACAATAGATTATTGCAGAATTAACAGAGAAAATAAACCACATGGCATCTCAGGTAATGAACCTAAATCTAAAACTGTGGCCCCAAGAACAACCTGAAATATTAACCATTTTTCTGTGTATGGAATTGTGTAAATATACACAGCACAGATGCACAGTATAAGCAGTGTCCTATTACTGTACACTTGTGAGACGTGGTAACCCCTAATGATAATAAGGTAAAGGGTTATATATCTCTTCTAGGGTAAATTGAACAGTAAACATTGATTACCCTCTGTCCTTGCCCTGCAGGCAGCTCCTATTAATTAACTGATAGCATTTTATCAGGGCTATAATGGGAAAGAATACTTCCTCTTTTGTATGGGTAAAAATAGAGGATTGTAAATTTGTATGCACACTTTGCAATTGAACATCCACAAGAAGTGATATTTGTGAGATAAAAAAAATGTTTCTGGGCTTAAAGATCAATTTAAGTATTGCTTAATCAGGCTGCAAAAAAAGAATGGTTCCAGAAATGCTTCTTTGTACTGGCTAGCCTTAGCAAATACAAAATTGATTAAAATGAGCTTTTAAGAATAATACGTGTCTTGAATTTTATTATATGCTGGACAAGTAGGAATTGTACTGAAGCTTTTTCTTTGATGGGAATATTTTTTTTTTTTTTTTTTTTTTTAACAGGTAACATCCCTAAAGGAGGAAACAGAGTATGCACAAAGTGTATAATTAAATGTATATACCTTCTTTGTTGGTTTGTTGGCTCTTTGATTTTTCCCAAGGTGTGATAGACTTGTCGTCTTCCTCTCCCTCCATCAATGATTTCTCATTAGGCAGGTACCAGGTAGAATTATGCTCTGCCATGAGAGAGTCAAGGTCTATCGTACTCATAGAATTTTTGACATTGTCAGAGCAACAACTGTTCAATTCACTGTCCACATTTTGAGCAGTACAGTCACTTTTTTTATTTTTCATCCCCAAGGGCTGGTCTTCAGAAATGCTGAACTGCTGTCTCTGAAGCTGTATCTGTGCTTGGAGTATCTCTAAAGGGTGAATCTCATCCTGGGTCGATGTGCTAGTAGGAGTGCGGACCTGTTCCATCCCTGGGGTGCCAGGGTGGCCAGCCCCAGTACTGCTCAACCCATAACTGTCCGGGAGAGAGGTAGTGTTATTTAGTAAATTTAGACCCATTGGTTTTTGTCCATTAAGAAGTCCGTGTTCACTCCGCTGAATTTTTGGAGACCCTGTTACCAAAGGACAGTTATTGGGTTTTGATATGTTATTATCTGAACTAGAAGAAACTTCATCTTCATTACCATAAGTGGTGTTGACATCTTCGGAGAAGTCAACATGAGGTGAGCTACTATCTGATTTAGTCACACTTTGAATTCCACTGTCCAAAGATGACATGAGGTCAGGTTGGTCGCTCAGAAGCAGCTCGTTACCTTTCCCCCAAGACGGAGAGGTCAGGGGCTTGTCATGGGGAGTCCCACCAGGTTCTACCGGATTGACAGTTTGGCCCTGCTGCCCTGGGCTTACAACTGCACCCCCACTGTCTGCAGAATACTTATCAAAGTAGTTACCTGGGCTTACATGTCCACTGTCTCTTTTTCTGCGACCCCTCCCTCGTCCACCACCAGTCACTGGTTTGCCATCATTGCCAGGAGTGACTTCAATATTGTAGTTTGGGGAAAGACTAGTTTCTCCCTGTGTGGGTTGCGATGTCCCACTCTGCCCTGTAGATTTACTGTTATTAGTTGTAGCACCAGGACCCTGATTGCCTTGAGAAGAGCCCCCAGAGAAATAATCAGAAGTAGAGCTATTCCCACTGTTGCCATTCAGCTCAGTCTCTGTTTGGCTCAATTTTCTCTTTCCCTCTGCTTGGCTTTTTTTATTAAATGTCACATTGAGGTTTGGTGCACCTAAGCTAGCAATCATATTCTGACAAGCTGTAGAAAGGGCAGCTAAGCAACTTTGTCCAAACATGTTTTCCTTTGCATTAGCCTTACTGAATGAACCAAGGGAAAGTGCCCCCAATTTGCTGGCTGTTGAGCGCTGGCTAGCTTGAAAATCAGATTGTGGTGGGTATGAACTCGGGGATGAATTTACACCAGGTGGGTTATGAGGCGTCGTCTGTCTATTTGATCCAACAAATGGGAATCCTGACTGTTGGCCTATAGCTGGTGCTGCAAAGTCTGGAGCGCCCCTTCTGTCAGCTGGGGTACTGTTCATGCCCACCCCACCGCCTGGTGATTGCATTTGGGAAAGGTTAGCCATGTTGTTTCCATACTGAGAGTGCATACCCGGAGAGTGTAAGGCAGAAACATGTCCTTCTCCTGGTAGCCCCAGCGGCTCTTGCATACCCATTCTGTTAACACCCGGCCTAAAAAGCATGTTTGATCCATTTTGTTGTAAATTAATATCATGGGATGTAGGATCTGTAGGGAGATTTGACCCAGCCATCCTCCTTTGCAAAATGTCACCTGGTGGGTGAGGTCCAGGAAACCAAGCATTTTCCTGGCCTACATGTGGATTCTGAGGATCAAAGTTACCAATCCTCCCCCCTTCACGATCAAAGTTAGGCGGTGGAATACTCCCCACTTGACCTCCATGGACAATGCCGCTTTGATTAACATCGCCATGATGGCCCAATTGCTGCAGATTAGCTTGTCTCATTCTTTGCTGTTGGTTTCTGGAAGCCATTTGTTTAATCATCATTGCAGCGTTCTGTCTCTGTTGCATGGACTGGTGATCCGAGCCTGGGTGCTGTAGAGCTGGGCCAGGGGGGAAGCTGTCTGGCACTTGAGGAGGGTATTCCCCTGGGAGGCCAGGGTAGGTGGAGGGAGAAAGATGACTGTCAATGCCGGCATTGTGAATGCTGTTGTTACTCCAGGCAGCACAGTTCTCAACCCCGTGATTATTTGAAAAGTCAAACCTGGGCCTTTTGGTGACATTCATATATGGGGCATCAAAGTGTTGCAATCTTTGATTTGGAGGTTGCTGTGGAGGTCCCTGCTGCATATTGAACATGGACTCAGAATAGGGATGCATATTTCTATTCTCTAGTCTCTGGATGGGGTACTCAAATTGCGAATGCTGGCTCTGCATTACTGGTCCATTGTCCGGCAAGTTTGGGTTAGAGGCATTGCCTTCAGTTTGCTGCTGCCTGGCAATCGCTGGCGGGCATGAGTTTTGTCTGGCAATCAAACCTGTCTGTTGCTGCTGCTGCTGTTGCTGCTGCTGCAGGAGGGGGTGTCTGGCGTTGACTGCAGGCTCCATGCCCACGGGTATCTTACGAGCACCTCCAAACCTCTCAAAGAATACCCCGTGCTGCTGCTGTTGCTGCTGTTGTGGGTGAACTTTGGACATGCCCACCATGCCGGGAGGTCTAGGCAAAACAGAAGCACTGGGGAAGGCGCTGTTGGGGACCTGCCGACCAGCACCGTAATGACCCTCGGACTCAGAAGGAGAAAACACAGGTACCTCAAAGTGTCCGGACGGGCCGTCGCTGGGATAATTGTATTCCAGAGGATCGACGCCTCCTTGGTTGTGGATCCTTCTTTGTTCCAGGTTGTGAGAATCCGAAGAAGTGGACGCAGGAAGCCCATGGAAAGAGGCAGCGCGGTTGGGAGACTGGTCAAGGGGAAGGCAAGGAGCCGGGACGGCGTGGTTGGAGGCGGTGGAGTTGGGGTGCTGGAACTCGGGTAGATTGCCCGATCTTTGCTGTCCAAAGCCCTCTCCGGAAGGTTGGCCCTCGGGCATCTGTTCGTAGCCTTCCCCGAAGCCTTGCTGGTTGCCAAGGTTGTTGTTATAAGCCATGAGCCGGCCACCGTGCAGACAGGAGGCTGTGGCCTCGGGCCCAGCAAAGTTGGCAGGGAAGTGGGGGTGATGCTGGTGAGGGTTGGGGTGGCTGTGATGGTGATGAGGAGGCTGGTTGTTGAAGAAACCATGGACAGGCTGCATGCCACCACCAGGGTGAAGGTCCGAGTGTCCCCTGGCATGGTATCCATAAGGCTCACCATTGAGGTTGAGGTTCATGGCCAGCATGGCAGGCTCTCCCAGGGCACCCATGGCAGGATCCACAGCTCCGGACTGGAAGGCAGCGCTCTTGAAGTGGCCGCTCATGCTGAGCCCGGGCTGAGCGAAGTTCCTTTCTCCTTGGCCGGCGGCGGCGCTGCTGCTGCTGCTTCTGCTATTGATCTGCGGCTCAAACTGCTCCAGCCCGAACATCATTCCCGGCTCATCAATACGGCTGAGCGGGGCGGGGGAGGGGGGGAAGCGGAGCAGCCTTCATGCAGCAGCGGCGGAGGAGCTCACATGGTGCGGCAGGAGCCTGGGGGGGGGGGGGACGGTGACACAGAGCCGGGTCAGGGGATGCTCGGCGGTCCTCAGCGCTCCTCCTGGATGTCCGGAGCGGGCTGGGTGACAAGTCTCATGGTAGAAAAGGAGAAGGCGGCTGGCTGTGCCGATGTGTGTGTGTGTGTGAGTGTCTGCTCTCCCCTCCGATCACCAGCCCCACACAGCGAGCAACAAGTTTAGCATTTCAGCAATCCATTCCTCGCACTAGCGGCCAGCCAATGTCAGCGCGGAGGGGGCGCGGCCTGCGCTTAAGGTGGTCCTGCTCCATCCCAGCGCCTCGTCCTCCGCTCTGCCATTCATCGCCATCCTAGCGCGCAGCCAGCCTCGCCGCCTCGCAGCTCCGGCACCAGAGGTATCCTTTTGTTTGCCAGGAGATCCACCCCGGCCACGGCCACCGAGGGGGAGGGACGGGGGATCTCCGCAGGGTCTCCTTAACGCACTTGCTGGAGTTTGCCTCTCCTCTGGTGTCAGCTGTCACATTGTACACAGCATGGACCAGATCCCTCACCTTCATCATCCCAATCACGTCTTCTCCTCACCCTCTGCTGTGATGTCACATCCCTGGCAATGATGTCATCGCCTTGACACCCCTTGGACGCAACGCCCATTTTCTTCGATATGGATTTCGATCCGTAAATGATCGATCGCGCGATTTTAGAATCTGATCGATCAAAATACAAACAAATTCATACGCGAACGACGAACGCAATTTCAAAATGGTGCGACTTGGCCCCATCCATCTCTCCCAATAGGAATAATCGATCTATAGTCAGCAACTCATTTGAATCGATATGAATTTCGATCAGTAGGTGGATCGTAAATGATCGATCGCATCTATGCGATTTTAGAATCGGATCGATCAAAATACAAATTCATACGCGAACGACGAACTCAATTTCAAAATGGTGCGATTTGGCCCCATCCATCTCTCCCAATAGGAATAATCAATCTATAGTCAGCAACCTGTTTGATTGATATGGATCTAGATCAGTAGGTGGATCACAAATGATTGATCGCATCTATGCTATTTTATAATCTGATCGATCAAAATTCGATCAACTTTATAAGCATAGCATCTCAGTGCTCCCGATCGATGCAGCACAATTGATCATTTGTTACACTGGCTGATCAAATCTGATCTAAGCCCTGATTCACAACGAACGCGATTTCAAAGTGGTGCAATTTGGCACCATCCAATTCTCCCAATAGGAATATTCGGTCTATAGTCTGCAACCCGTTTGATCAATTTGGATCTCAATCAGTAGGAGGATCGCAAATGATCGATCACATCTATGCTATTTTGGAATCTGATTGATCAAAATACAAACAGATTCATAAACGAACGGGTGCAAATTTCAAAGTTCTGCGATTTGGCCCCATCCATCTCCTCCCAATAGGAATAATCAATCTATAGTTAGCAACTCATTTGATCGATATGGACTTCAATCCGTAGGAGGATCGTAAATGATCGATCGCATCTATGCTATTTTAGAATCTGACCGATCAAAATACAAATTCATAAGCGAACGACGGGCGCAATTTCAAAGTTGTGCGATTTGGCCCCATCCATCTCTCCCAGTAGGAATATTCAATCTATAGTCAGCAACCTGTTTGATTGATATGGATTTCAGTCTGTAGGATGATTGTAAATTATCGATCACATCTATGCTATTTTAGAATCTGATCAATCAAAATACAAATTCATAAGCGAACAACGAGCGCAATTTCAAAGTGGTGCGATCTGGCCACATCCATCTCTCCCAATAGAAATATTCGAACTATAGTCAACAACTCATTTGATCGATATGGATCTCCATCAGTGAGATGATCATAAATGATCGCTCACATATGTGGTATTTTAGAATCTGATCAAAATACAAACAAATTCATAAGCAAACGAAGAGCGCAATTTCAAAGTGGTGCAATTTGGCCCCATCCATCTCTCCCAATAGGAATAATCGATCTATAGTCAGCAACCTGTTTGATTGATATGGATCTCAAACTGTAGGATGATCGTAAATGATCGATCGCATCTATGCTATTTTAGAATCTGATCGATCAAAATTTGATCACATTTATAAGTATAGCAGTACTCCCGATCGATGCACCACGATTAATCATTTTCTACCTGGTTGATCAAATCTGATCTAAGCGCTGGTTCACACCAAACATGATTTCAAAGTGGTGCACTTTGGCACCTTCCAATTCTCCCAATAGGAATAATCAATCTATAGTCAGCAACCCATTTGATTGATATGGATTTTGATCAGTAGGAGGATCGTAAACGATCGATCGCATCTATGTTATTTTATAATCTGATCGATCAAAATACAAACAAATTAATAAGCAAACGACGAGCACAATTTCAAAGTGGTGCAATCTGGCCCCATCCATCTCTCCCAATAGAAATATTTGATCTATAGTCAGCGAACAGTTTAATCAATATGGATTTCGATCAGTAGGAGGATCGTAAACGATCGATCGCATCTATGTTATTTTATAATCTGATCGATCAAAATACAAACAAATTAATAAGCAAACGACGAGCACAATTTCAAAGTGGTGCAATCTGGCCCCATCCATCTCTCCCAATAGAAATATTTGATCTATAGTCAGCGAACAGTTTAATCAATATGGATTTCGATCAGTAGGAGGATCGTAAATGATCGATCGCATCTGTGCTATTTTATAATCTGATCGATCAAAAATTCAATCAAATTTATAAGCATAGCATCTCAGTGCTCCCGATCGATTGATTATTTGTTAGGGTGGCTGATCAAATCTGATCTAAGCCCTGGTTCACACCGAACGCAATTTCAAAGTATTGCAATTTGGCCCCATAGGGTTAGCGACTGATGCAAATGTACAATATATATGTAAAGTGCTGTATAAATTGATGGCGCTATATAAGTACCTGAAATAAATAATCCATCTCTCCCAATAGGATATCGATCAGTAGGATGATCGTAAATGATCAATCACATCTACTCTATTTTATAATCTGATCGATCAAAATTTGATCAAATTCATAAGCATAGCATTTCACTGCTCCCGATCGACACATCAGATTTGATCAGCCAGCGTAGCAAATGATCAATCGTGTTGCATCGATCGGGAGTACTGAGATGCTATGTTTATGAATTTGATTGAATTTTGATTGATCAGATTACAATGTAACATAGAAGTGATCGATCATTTACAATCATCCTACGGATCAAAATCCATATCAATCAAATGGGTTGTTCACTATAGATTGATTATTCCTATTGGGAGAGATGGATGGGGCCAAATCGCATCACTCTGAAATCGTGTTCATTGTGAACCAGGGCTTAGATCAGATTTGATCAGCCAGCGTAGCAAATGATCAACCGTGTTGCATCGATCGACTGCACTGAGATGCTATGTTTATGAATTTGATTGAATTTTGATCGATCAGATTATAATATATAACATAGAAGTGAACGATCATTTACGATCATCCTACAGATCGAAATCAAATGGGTTGTTGACTATAGATCGATTATTCCTATTGGGAGAGATGGATGGAGCCAAATAGCATCACTCTGAAATCGCTGGCTGATCAAATCTGATCTAAACCCTGGTTGACACCCAACGCAATTTCAAAGTGATGCGACTTGAAAGCAGCTTTCACACAGAGGAGTTTTTTCAAGTGCTTTTGCGCAAAAAAAAAAAAAAAGCGCAAGAAAAGCCGAAGAAAAATGTATGTCTTTACTCTGATCCGTTGTCCTTCTATTGCGGTGTAAAAAATCCTGCTTGCTGCATTCTTGGGGCATTTTCGGTCAGTTAAAAAAAAATGCACCACCCCATTGAAATGCATTGAAAACGTGGCAAAACACATCAAAAATACTCCTGTGTTGCATTTTTGATGCCTGTGATCATGGCAAAAACGCATATACATTTTTGCTACGGATCAGTGTGAAAGTGTCCTTAAAGTGGGACTTCAAAGTAGTGCTGATATAGACACAGGTGCACTTTCAGTGCCATTTACCTTATGGTCTATGAGAATGAAATCGCACTGAAGTGGTGAAACGGTCATGCAGGAACTATTTTTCAAATCGCTCTACTTGAAATCGCTTTTATTAAGACAGTGCTGTAGAAGAACATCAGAGGTGACTTCAGGTGTGATTTGTAAATGGTATGTCGCAGCTGAAGTCACAGTGGTATGAACCAGGGCTAAGGCTGGCCATGCACTATACAATTTTCTTGAGATTTTTGGTTTAGATTTACCAAAAACTATATAATAGGAGGTCAAACCTGACAACACTTTCAATTGTATCCAATTAGGCAGGCTCTTGCACTACATAGTTGAAGGTAAATCTAAAGGAAATTGGGCAGAGATTGGACAGAAAATTGTATAGTGTATGGCCAGCCTAAGACTTGTCTAAATCGATGAGAAGGGGAGGGTCATTCAATTGTTTGCTGATCATTTTGATCCAATCGCACATGGACTGGATGATAAAATCGAACCATGTATGGCCACCATTACAGACTTTTAATATGCTGGTCTGATGTGGTGTGAGTGGCCTTGTGCTCACCTAGGTACCTAGCTAGCTTGCACCTTCTGCCACTGAATTGTAATGCCTGGTCCACACGGTAAGTTTTTTTTTTTTTTCGTTCAACCGAAAAAAACAGAGGAGGTCTCTGTACTAACTAGGCAATGTCAGTACATCGATCTCTCCATTGTGCTATTGTGTTCTGACACACCAGTCAGCACTCGCAGCCATTGGCTGCAAGTGCTGATCCAATGACAATCAGCTGCTGGTTTTCCAGCAAGCTCGTTCAACAGAAGCTGGTCGTGAGATTGTCTTCTGTCAGGCAAGGACCTGTACACACAGACCGAATGTCGTCCAGTT